GCAGTGATGGAGGCAGCTGTTAAAGCAATACCCAGAGCTTTATTCGATGCAGAGTGAAACCAACAGGCACATGGAAAATACTAATCCACCATAACAAGAAAAGGTCGCGCTCCGCAGACGTTTTATTCTCGGTGCCTGGATACCCTTGTTAACACATTCAGCACATTCGCCCCATGGTGCATGCTCCTGTGAACCAAAATGCTAGGAGAAACTCGGAATTAATACGTGCAAATTGTATTACATTTTCCCTGCACATAAAGCTGTTTTTTTCCTTCAGTTATAAAGAAATCTGAACAAATAATTTTGAAAAAAAAAAATCACCATTTTTCGTTCTTTCATTCTTTTAGAAAGGGAAGAGGTTCAACCAAGCAGCAGCAAGGAAAGGCAGTATTTCAATGCAGGAGCAAATGACCTCCTGAGGGACTCCCGAGAAAGCAGAAACAATTCTTTCCCTGCTCTGGAGATACCTCTTTTTTTCAGTCATTGCACTCAGGCCCTTATGAGGAAGATATTTGGTATATCAGAGCCTTCAGTCCTTTGTCCATGAGTTATTTTTTCACTCCTCTACAAAGCTTTTTCAAGAAGAAAACTTCTTTTCTTGTGCTTTTCGGTACACAGTCTCAGGGGAGTGGTATTGCTCCAGGGATGATATTTTTGTGTGCTCCAAACCCCACAATATGGTGCTTGGTTTTGCCTTATTTGCATGTTATAAAGGTGCTATTGAGTGGGGAATTTAGTGCTCCAACTCAATCCTTAGTGTTTTTCCACCTTCTGTGCATACGCAATAATTTGTACTCTAAGAGATGTGCAATGACCTCTTTTTTTCATGCGAGAAATGTTTTCATTAAAAATAAAATAGCAGATACATCAAGACATTTCCTCTTGTAAAGCCTCATGTTCTGAATGTAAAATAGGAATAGCCAATCTCTACAATGTTTTCTTATCATGCTATGCAGCTAAAAATAAGAGAGCAAGTGAGACAGAGGGAGGTTGGGTTATTGCATAACACAGATAAAACAAACTTTATAGGCGGCCCTATAATTTCCATAAATAGATGATTAATCGTAGTAATAGTAGCAACAACAACAATAATAAAGTCTTTGAATCGTATTCTTTGTTTCAGCAGAGTATTGAAACAATTCAGGGAACAATTCAAGATTTCCAAGAGCCCGTGGTCACAGCAAACACTGCAGCAAAGCCAAGGCTGCCCTGGCTCAGCTTACCTGGGACCCAGCTGCATCTGTCGCCCGTCGTGCCTCCGCTCCCCGGCTGCCGTCGGGCTCGAAGAGAGATCTGAGGTCTGGCAAGCCTGGTGCTCTCCGCAGGACTGGTGCACTGCCATTGCCAGCACAAACGCAGAAATGAGATAGGACAATTTACTAAATAAGAGTCTTTTAGTCTGAGCATGCAAGAGGCAGCAAATGCATTCGAAGACGGTAATGTGAAGCAGCTTGCAGAGAGTGTTTGCAGGACAGAGGGACTGGGGACTGGGACTTGGCTCGGTGCTTACCTTAAATACATGACTATTCCGCTGAGGCCCAACAGCAATACCTATATGCTTAAAGTGAGATACTTTTTTTATAATTTATACCAAATCAGGACCTGCATACAATTTAGGAACAAAAAGCTCCATTTTTGTAGCTATTCACTGCGGGCCTTACATTACATTCCTTTTTAGCTGAAGGTATGTAGTCTCATTTGCACTGTGAATATTTATAACTGTGAATTTAAATGATCTCTTTCTCAGTAAAGAAGCTTAATAGTCTAAGGCTGGTTAAATCATTTGCCGGAAAATATTCACAATGTGAACACAAAATAGGAGCAAAAACTATCAAAACAAATTCATGGAGACATTCAAAAGAGCACATACAGCATACATATCAGTTCATTTGATCAGCTATTGTCTTACTGGTGTACTGACTAAAGCAGAACTCAGAAAGCATGAAAATTAGTTATTTCCACCATCTTGAGGAGACGACATTAGTATGCTGACACTAAACTCGTGGCTTCTGTAACTAATATGCCTTGTTGGTTACAAATTGCATTTGAAATATTCTGAAATGTTAGAGTTGGCTGAATTACCAAAAACCAGAATTGTTAATATTTTTACAAATAGAAGCTGTCAGGTTTGTTCAAGATGATTCACAAATTCATACCACTCTTTATCTGACAGAATTCAGATCACTGCCAAATAATGGGCATAATAGCTCACAAGTCCCAGAATTTTCCATTAATTTACAGTAAATAATAATTCAGCTGAAAAGTCATACTGCTAATTACTCTGATTTAAAGAGCATTTCAATTACCTAATTGAAGAACAGAAACAGTGCACTCAATTTAGGTGGTCAGTCACAGTTCAGAAATAATGAATAGTAAATGATTAATACACAGCACAGAAACAGTCATAGTCTGAAAATTATTCCTTTGAATAATTTAGTGGATAGTTGGCAACAATGGACACTTGCAATCAATTAAAGGAGCTGGCTGCAAACTTCACATTGGAATAATGCTTCCATGGAAAGTGCAGATTTTCACAACATTTTACCCAAAATGGTTTTGGTCCCCTAGGAAGGTCACACAGACGTTTTATTGCAGGCTTCTTTACCCCAGATCCCTGCGTTTTCCTTTTTTTTTTTTTCTTTCTAATTGATAGGAGGCAAAATGTTGCGCATCAGCCAGCTAAACTTTTAGTAGCATTTCCATACCAATCTATTGTCTTGGTGCTGTTGTGCCAGTGCAGGGTGGGTGCCAGGCTGGAGGATGCATCTGGGGCTGCCAAAGACGTGATGGGGAGCTGGGGAGAGCCAGGCTGCACCTGGCAAGGGGGCTCTGAGAAGGTGTCCGGCAAGAGGTCTCGTGGAGAAAGGTGACAGCCAGAAAGAGAATCCGAATTATGAGGGAAATACTGCAACGCGCAGAGCAGCGAGTGCAGAGCTTCTCCTGACTCGTTGGGTTGATGGTTGGACTCGATGATCTTGGAGGTCTCTTCCAACCGTAATGATTCTATGATTCTATGATTCTATGACTCGATGGCCCTTTGGCTTGACCTGGGAAAGGGAAACTCCCCGCTCCTGGGCAAAGAGGCTGATGCTGCTTTTCCTGACCATTTCGTGCCAGTGTGCCTCTGGAATATTGAAATGCCACTGCTGTGTTGCAAGAGGGCATTTTGCTTTCTAACAGAGCAGAAACATGGATTATTATGGCCATATTTTGCCATGTGGCATCCTGAACTGGCCTGTGGAAACAGGGCATGGTGCACGGGAGGTCTAAATACCTGCTTCCAGTTCAGTTGCTGGGGAGGGAGATTTGTGTCTGTGAGTGGTGGCATTCGTGTTTGCGTGCTGTGATTCGTGGCATCACATCTGGACTAGACCACAGAAACTGCTGGAAGCCAAATGCGAGTTCAGGTAGACGGAGCTGCCAGCCCCAGCACCGTCCTGCCCCTTCAGCAGCGGTGGTCATGGGTTGGGTGTGGGGGTGTGTGGGGGTGTGTCTTTTTTGTCCTTTGAGCTTTATGAAAGTCGAAGTGTAGATACTCTGGGCTGCATGAAAAGCAACATTAAACCCAGTCAGTCTGCTCCAACTTTACAAATTTTTGGAGAAGAAATATGTTTTTATCCCAAAATAAAAATCTGCTGCAAGCAGGAGAGGAGGGTAGCTGAGGACTGGTAAAATGAACAAGTTCCCCCCGGGCTGGTGAGCAGGGAACTCCCTCCCAGTGGAGATGCTCACGCAGTCCTGCAAGCCCTCGTGCGCTGGGCTGGTATCTGGGACCATGTACGAGGACGTCCCCGACTCAGGCAGGAGCTGAAGGAGAGCTTTTTGTATCTTACGTGCAAATGACAAAATGACCCGGTCAAATAAGCACCGGGCCGTTTCCACGCAGACCCAGCCAGTCCTACCTGGCCCACCTGGACAGACGGTCCCATCCACTCATGATGGAGCATCTCCCCACGGGGTTTACTCCATCCCCAGCTGAGCCATCCATTAGCCAGGTCACCCATGGTGGCACTCCTGTGGCCGTGAGCCCCAGAGCAGCACTTCCAGGGCTCCCCAGCTCCTGGCTGGGGGCACAAGCGCAGAGGAAGCACTGCCAGAGCCCACAACATCATGAGAGACCCCCTGTGCCCCGCCATGTCCCCACCGTGCCCTGGCGCCCGGGCCAGCCGCCAGCCCTCGCCAGCAGAAGAATGGCGGCATCGCACAGCAGCTGCCACGGGCACAGTCCGGCGTCTTTAATTTTGGAAACACGGCATGCCAGTGTTTCTAAAACAGCTCTTATTTTTTTTCCAGATAGCATTTGCAAAGGGATGTTTACACAGGCACACGCATCGATGGGATGGGGCTGTGGCCACCCTGATGTCTCCCGTGGCCTGGGAGGGTCAGAGCTGGGCTGCGGCGAGGAGGGAAGGACGAAGGAGACTGAGCTGCTCCCTGCAACCCCCCTCTGAAGGGGCTCAGCTTCCTCTGCAGTGAGATCCCTGGTCTGGGCTCAGACTGCCGAGAAAAGCGCAGAGTGGTGAGAAAGAGCTGTGAGAAAACCTGCAAGCAAGGTGAGAAAGTGAAATTACAAAGATTGCAAATTGCTGGTGAGCAGTTCCAACAACTACGTACCATCAAAATTGAAATAAATGTGGTGTTTATTTGCCATATGTACCAGCTGATGGCTCGTGCGTACTTGGACATGTTAAAATGCACCGTGTGTGCAGGAGGAGCAGCCCTCCCTGGGGCAGAGCCGGCAGGCGCCACCGGTCTCAGCAGCTCGGATGCCCACCACTGCTTACAGGCAGGGGCTATGGCTGACCCATCACTCAAAATACCATGAGAAAGAAATGCAGAAGTGATCTATCTATTGTGTCATTTTGTAATTGCTAATTTAATTATTCCTGTTCCACATTGAGTCTTTTCTTAATGTGGTTTAATTAGATGATTCCATTATTAAATGCACAGAATGCAAACAAAATGCACTCAAACCCCTTCTTTTCCCATCAGTTTTCCATTTCAATTTTTCAGTCTAAAAGTAAGGAAAAAAAGAAACCATCACCTTTGCTGTCTGTGCTGTGTACGGGGTCGCCTGAACCGGCAGGCTGGAAAACCATCTTTGAATGTGAAATGGTGAAAACTGGAAAGAAGATGGCTGCCATCGGAGAGGGCTGCTGTTATTCAGTAGGTGACTATTTGTTTTCATACAAAACAACACTTTTGAAAAGAGTGAAAAAATAAAAGACCACTTTCTAACTCTGTTGGAAGCGATAAATTTTCAAAATGCCA